AACACATGACAAACAAAACAGAAACAGTACGACATTCCTGTAGTGTATGTTTTAAATTGACATCATAAGGAATGTAAACAGCAGCAACAAAGACAATTCTCTGGGGATACATGTGTATATATATATATATATATATATATTTATATATATATATATATATATTTATCTGGGGATATATATATCCATTTATCTCCAGATAATTGTTTTTGCTGCTGCTGTTTATGATGCTAATTTAAAATATGCACTGCATGGCTACAACTGCATTTAATTGTGCATCGCTGTATGTTGCATAATGAGAATAAATTATCCTTGAACCTTGAATATTTGAATGTAATCCGTATAAAACGTTGTTTCCCCCCCCATGTTGCAGCCATAGGGCTGCAGCTAAATTACTTTGAAAGGTTGCCACAGGAAGTGCTGCTGCTGCGTTTAAACTATACGAGACTTGACGCCGGTCTCCGCCACTCTGTTCGGCAGTCGGTCGCACCGGAGAGAAACCGAAGCGCTGGATTCAAGTGCTTGAACCCGGTCGTCTGCCTCTCGGTTCCGGCAGGTAGGGGAAACATTTGAACAAAGCCTATTGTTGTGTGCAATGACGTTCGGACACACGTGCATCTGGTGTTTTGTGCGTCCGTCTTCTGCAGCGCTCGGTCCGGATGTCTTGACTCGGTTGGCTCCTCTCTCGGTGAAGAGCAGATACGAAAAGCTCCACGCATGCATCATCAGCACGGCTCCACGTGTCGAGTCCCGCACATCCAGCTCGCGCAACAAGTCGGGGAGATAAGTGAAGTCAGCAGAAGTCCTCAGAAACACTCGACACGAGCTCTCTGTGTGCAGTGTTCCTTAAGCTACACGATTAATGAACGCACGTTAAGTAGCTAGCTAACTGTTGTTGGCACATTGAATGTACCAGTTAAAGACTTTTATGGCTCGAATCCACTCGAAGGCATTCTAATGATATGGAAACTAGCATGCAATTAAGTAGAACATGTGACCACACGGTGCTCCTTGCGCGTAAGTTGTGATGTGGCAAGTGTGTATTTAAGTTATTTCATTTCAATAAGTGTTTTTTGTTTGGTTATGTGTATGCCGAATCATCAAGTGTCTCTCTTATAGCTATATGTGATATTTTACTGGTTTATACTGTTCGTGATAAGGAACTCTGCGTTAAAATAGCAGCTTTTTTGACTGGAGTTTGGCGTGGAGGCGGTGGAGCATCACGGTACCGTGGTTAGACGTAGGCTCGAACACTGCGGGCTTGGGGTATTTTCAGACCTCCTAATCATAGGGTGTATTGTGTAAGGCTTCATTTACTGCACTTTTAGTTTGTTTCCATCCCCCATGTCTGCACGGTTTCCAAATGTGCACGGACTTTACATGGGAACGAACAACTATTTTTAATGGTGGAAAACGGTACAGGCTGTTACAGTGCTGCACATATGACAGTCTATGATTGTCTTCATTCATCATGGCTGATCATTTTGGTTTGAATATATTAACTCATAACTCAGTCATTGCACTCCTTTCTCTCTCATAACTCAGTCAT